CCTAGCAATGGGATGGCTGGGTCAAATGGAATTTCTAATTGCAACTTTTGAAGGAATCGCCATACTGCTTTCCACAATGGTTGTACCATTTTATAGTCCCACCAGCAGTGTATGAGAGTCCCAATCTCTCCATAACCTCGCCAGCATTTGTTATTTTCTATCTTGTTGAACTTTGCTACTAGTGCTGGCATTATATGAAATTCTTCACCAAAAAAATCAGCTGAAACCATGGGTTTTATTCCTAAAGGAGGAGTCAGAATCTTAAGGCTTTTTGTCCTGATCTTCCTCCACGAGCTCAAAAGTACCCAAACACTGGAGGTGAGTATTCGGGAAATATTTACTGCTGTACTGGTTCATCTCAAACTAACCACAAGAAAGCTGAAGCAGAATTTCCACAAGAAGTTGTGGGCTATACTGTACCTTGTTATTTTCTTCTTCATACTCATCATCACTGCTGTTATCAGCCATACTCTTGTTAGAAAGATGGGCAGAACGATGAGGTCCTTAGAAGAAAAGTTTTTCCTTTAACATTATTGTTAAAATGATTTTTAAAGACATGTATTTTTAGTTTATGATATTTTACACAGAAACAGGGTTTATAAGAACATACAGCTAAAGGGCAGGAGACTCTCTAGTCATGGCTCTGTCAATTCAATTCAAGATATATTTACTAAGCATCTTATTATGCTTAAGGCATTGGGTAAGACAATTTATCAATTACCTGCCCTTAGTTTACACAGTGGTAAAATGATATCAATAACCAGTAAAATGAAAAGAGTACTGGATTCATAATTAGAAGACTGGTTTAAAGGGCAACTCAATCACTTGGACAAAATGACTTATGCTCACTGAGTTTCTTCTGTATCCCCCACCTCTAAAATGGGGTCAATAATATTTACTACCCAGGAATTCATAAGGATAGGACCCAATGCCTGGCAAATAAGTCATATATTTGAATGGAAATCGACATCCATAAGATAAAAACAATAAAAATATTCTGAACAATTAAAAGTATAATCAGATGTAACATATTAACTGGCATGCAAACATGTTAAATGATTTCCAAATTAAAATTAAATGTTTTTTTTGGGTGGAGGCCATCTACTAAGTTATACTAAGTTCGCCAAAACTGAAAACTAATTACAATATCTACAGCTGACAAGAACATAGCCAAACATGTGCACGTCAAAAAACCTGGGTGTCATGTTTGATTCCTAACTCAATAAAACTCCACTCTATCAGCAAGCCTTACTGACTGCACTACAATATACTTTGTATTTACGTTTTTTATTCTTGATTTCTTCACCACAATCCAAGTCACAATCATCTCAAGTCAGTCACTGCAATAGTCCTTCCAATTGGTTCCTCACTGTCCCCCTGCACCTTTCAATCCATTCCACATACAACTACAACATGGCCTCCAAAGCTCTGCTTCCTGCCCATGTCTCTGATCTGATCACATACCATCCCCCTACTATATACTGCTCTTATTTTTAGGTTCTTTCTGGCTTCACATCTCACATGCTGTTCCCTCTCGCTGGCTTTTTCTTCAGTGTTTGGATCCTTCTCATCTTTTACTTCCAATTTAAATGTCACCTCCTTGACCATCCTATCAAAAACATAGGTCCCCCTCTTCACCATTATTCTCCAGAGCAGCAAATTATTTGCCTTTATCACATTCGTAACTAAGTTTATTGGTTTACTCATCTATCATCTGTCTCTCAAGATTGGCTTTAAGCATTAGGACGACCGGGACAATGTCTTTTGTTCAATACTGCATACCCAGTGCCTGGCATAATACTGGCATATAGAAGGTGTTCAAAATGTGGTCATTGAATAAATGAATGATGTCAAGTTCTCTAAAAATATACCCTTGGGATTTTGATTGGGACTGCAGGTTATGGGCAAATTAAGAATACAGCTTCAAAGATAAGCAAAACATAGCTATACTAAGTTAAAAACAGCGAACCTTTGGCAGATTGTGAGCAAAGCAAAAAATCATGACATAAATGGTGAAAAGGAATATTGGTAGGGTGGGAGGAAGATCCTGCAATTTGGGAGGCACTGTTTTCTCCCCTTAATTAGAAAACATAAACAATGGCAAATGTAGTATCTTGACTCTGAAAGCCAACATTTGTTATAAAACAGGAATTTCTTGGTGACAACCATGAATTCATCCTGCTCTTTGTTCTGAGAACCATTTCTCCTCTCTTCATTCCACTCTTACCTTGGTGCCTTGAGATTGGAGTATAAACACTTGCAACCTCTTCAGAGTCGTTAATCTCTAGACGCTCATCATATGTCTGGTTTTCAACAATCTTGGTTTAAGCAAAAGGAAACACATCATGGGACATAAAGCACTTTGGCAGGATTTGCAATTCCAAACCAGCATTTGATCCTTCCTCACCCAAGACACCAATTTTGCATAAAATATTAACCCTCAATCAAACTTTCCTTAAGGCTTCTTTGCCCCAGGTAAAGCTGTTAAGTCATTCTGCTGCAGCCCTGGTTTAGGAATTGCTGCCTAACTGGTTTAGGAACGGGGGAACCATGGAGGAAAACGACAGCCAACTGCTGCAGCAGCTCCCCAACGCTGTAAGATACAAGCTTAAGGGCAGAATGGCAGTCTTATGTAGATGGCGGCTCTCTTCTCTGGCTCGGTCAGTTTTCTCAATACTGATTAGTTTCTCAGTGAAAGCTGCAGAGGTTCTACGGTGTTATGTCTCTGGGGTCACTTCTGAGGAAGAGGTCCCCGAAGACAGAGCAACCTCCAGTGTCTCGGTCCCACCGAACAATACCGAAAACATCACCCCATCCTCCACCCCCATCTAACAGAAAGGACGCTACTTAAGTTTCCCGGGGGGGGGGGGGGTAAAGGAAACAGGATGGATTGATGGAGGGCTGGGGAGGTTGGGAGAAAGGAACAGTTGCCATAGACATGAGAAGTGAATTAGCGAGTAGGGGGAAGGGCAGTTCTCTGAAATTCTTCTGGGACGGAAGAAGGCAGTTCCCTTTCTACTAGGGTGAGTCCGAATTACCTGTAGCCCCTCTGAATCCGTCTCCTCTATATGGAAAGAACCCCAGCCTAGGACTGGGGTCTCACTCCAATCTCAGCACAGGCCACTTCAGGGCTCCCGCTCGGAACTACCGGCCTGTTGTGGGTCGCTAGGCAAAAAACACATCGCGAGACTTGGTTTCAGTCTAGAAAGAGCGTTCTCCCACGTACCCGCGCGTTGCGCCTCTTCAACGATTTCTGCGCAGGAAGGAGGACCTACAGTGGCTGTGACAAAGTCTCTCTGGGCGACTAGGTAGCCTGTTTATCTATGGTTTCAGGAAATAGGATTTTGCGGCATCTAGTGGCCACGGCTGACAAAGCGGGCTGCTGAATTTTGGCTTTTACAAAGAGAGCGCTCCAATCTGGAAATACGGTTTCTCCCTAGGACAAAGATTATTGGCCAAGAAATTTTTTTTTTATTTATTTGGGTGAAGATTTACAGAGTAAATTCACTTTTCATATAGCAGTTCACATAATATACTTTGTCTCATGTCATTGACCAAAATTTACAATGCAACAGCTCCCCTCCCACTTCCTCCCCATAGTTACCTCTTCCCAGTGTCCA